GGGCTCTGTAGGGGGGTCTGGGCTTGGCCCAGAGGGGAGAGGTCTCTATAGGGGCTCTGGGCTCAGCCCTATAGGAGAGGGGGTTCTACAGGGGCTCTGGGCTCAGCCTTACAGGGGAGGGGTCTATGTGCTGTCCGGGAAGACCCTGCAGAGGACGGGGGTTGAAGGGCTCAGGGAGGGGAATGAAGCCCTGCGGTGCCCGGGGCTCTGCGGGGGCTGGGGGTCCCGGGGGGACACGGTGTGGGGACGCCGGTGCCACCGGCGCTGGAGCTGCACCTGCCCGCAGGTCGCCCGCAGCGGATCCGCGAGGATGAGGGGCCGGATCCCGGCCGTACTCTGCCTGACCGTGGCCTTGGCATCGCTGGTGCCCGCGGCCGGAGCCCGCCGGAGCCAAGACCTGCACTGCGGAGGTGGGGGGACAAGGGGAGACTGGGGGACAGGGAGGGACAGGGGGGGGCCCGGGGGGGACAGGAGGTGATGGGAGTCAGGGCCGGGGGGGCCACTGTGATCTGTTCATCCTGTGGCTGTGCTCCCCCTGCTTGGGGACAGGCCCGGGGTCTCCTCGCAGACCCTTCCTCACCCACCCCTCCCAGTCTGCACCAGTCCCACCAGTCCCTCTCAGTGGCTCCGTGTGTGTCCGAGCTGGGACCCCCCTGACCCCTGTGCCCCCCTCAGCGTGCCGGGCACTGGTGGATGAGCTGGAGTGGGAGATCTCCCAGGTGGACCCCAGGAAAACCATCCAGATGGGCTCGTTCCGCATCAACCCCGACGGCAGCCAGTCGGTCGTGGAGGTGAGGAGGCGTCTCCCGGAGCTCCCTTGTCCTGCCCCGGCCCCTCTGACCCTCCCCGGCGGCCGCAGGTGCCGTACGCGCGCTCGGAGGCGCATCTGACGGAGCTGCTGGAGCGGGTGTGCGAGAAGATGAAGGAGTACGGGGAGAAAACGGACCAGGCCACGCACAGGAAGAGCTACGTGCGGGTGATCTCCCACGACGGCACCAAGATGAACCTCTCTGGGGTCAAGTTCGACGGGGACGTGACTTCCAGCCTGAAGTTCGCGGTGTGTGGGGGGGCCCTCGTGGCATTTGCTGGGAGAGGGGCTCTCCGGGGGCGTGTTGGTGTCACCGGTTCCCCCTGTGCTCCCCGGGGCTCTCTTGGTGTCCCTCGGTGTCCCGTGACCGCCGTGGTTCCCGTTGCAGTGCGAGAGCATCGCTGAGGAATACGAGGATGAGCTCATTGAGTTTCTCTCCCACGAGGCTGAAAACGTCAAGGATCGGCTCTGTAGCAAGAGGACGGGTGAGCCAGGGGGGTCTCTGCTGTTCTGGGGGTCGTGGCTGCTCTGTCGGGGTTGGGACAGGAGGAGCTGCAGGTTCTTCCCAAAATCTCAGTGCTGAGGTGCTACTGCCAGCCCAGTGCCCAGACACTGCTGCTGCTGCTGGAGCTTTTTTTAGGTGCTGGGGCTGAGCCAGGGCAGCTGCTCTGTGGCTCCATGGTCTCTCCTGGCACAGCCCATGGCACCATCTCCCGTCCTGGGGGCTATTTCCAGCTCACAAACACCTGGGTCAGGGCACACCATGACCTTTGGGCCTTTCCAGTGCTGAATGTGGCCCCCGGAGCTGGGCCGGGGTGGGTCCCTTTGTACCTGGCAGAGGCTCCTTCTCAGGGTGTCCTGGGGGTCTTTCCAGCTGCTCCTGTGGCTCATCCTGTGTCCAGGGGCCGGGGTGGGGAGGGGCCGGGCTGGCAGCGCTGCCCAAACATCCAAGTTTGTCATTAACCACAGGGCAAAGCCAGGGAAGTGCAGGCCGCTCCAGCTCAGGTCACGGCTGGGACGGGCACTGGGGCCTGGTGGGATGTGGGGGGGGTCCCGCAGGGCTCCGGTGCCTTCTGAGGATTCCACCGGTCTCCCCCCTGTCCTGGGGCTCCCCTGGGGTCCGGCCGTGCCCTGAGTGCTGCCCCTTGTCCCCGCAGACCTGTGTGACCACGCGCTCCACATCCCACACGACGAGCTGTGATGCCCCAGCTGCCTCTGGACCACGCTGCCCGGTGGCCTCGCTGGGCCCGGGACAGCACCAGGATCCACCGGGATGTCCCCGTGTGCCTCATCCCCGCCAGGACGGACGGACCTGCCGGGGAAACCCACAGCGCTGGAGCCGGTGCTGCCTCACCCCGTCCAGAGCTCCCGTCCTATTTATTCCCCGGGGCGGCCGTGGGGTGAGGCCGTGTCCTCACTGCTGCCAGGACATTTTCAGGGACATTCCTGCCTCACTGCCGGGGGGCGTGGGGGAGACACCGGGGCTCAGCCCCCCTTGGGGCGGGGGGTCTGGGGACCCCCGTCCCTGCTGCAGGCAATAAAGGGGCCGTGGGCCCGCCCGAGGGTCTCACTCTGGTGTGTGTGGGGCGGGGTGGGGGGCGTGGGGACACCGGTGGCACCTTAGTGTCCCCAAGTGTCCCAGGTGACTCGAGCTCCCTTGTGGTCAGTGTCCACCTGCTGTGGCTCGGCCTCGGGGTGGGGACATTGCTCAGGTGATTCTGGTCAGCCCCTGGTTTCATGTCACCCTTTGTCACCTCATGTCACCCATTGCACCGGGGCCACTCAGGGCAATGCTGGCCACGCGCCACCCCCTGAGGTCACTGCTGAGCCAGGGCCCTGCAACCTACAGGCCACTGTGGCCGGGTGTGGGATGACGTCATGGCCCGCGGTGACCTCACAGCACATGGCCGGGTGCCCGGTGACGTCACGGGGCTGCCCCGGCACCGCAGCCGAGCCACACCGAAACACCGTGAGGATGACACAGGGCGTGACGTCACGCACTGCGGCCGGTGACGTCACGACAGAGGGGGCGGGCGGCGCCTCACCCCACCCTCGGTCCTGAATCAGGCGAACGCGGCGGCCACCTATAGCCCGCGGCCCCCGCCGCCTCATTTGCCTATCCCCGCCCCGCGGCGCGCGGCGCGGCCAATAGCGAGCGGCTCTGCCACGAGGAGGGCGGGGCTATGCTAATGATCAGCACCGCGCCGCGCCCCGCCCGCGCGTTGAGGACCCCCGGCCGCCGCCGCCGCCGCTCCGGCCCCGCTCCCGCCCCGCTCCCGGTCCCGCTCCCGCCCGGTCCCGCTCCGTCCCGGCCTGTCCCGTCCCGGTGCCGCCATGACGCTCCTCGCCGCCGGCAGCCGGGCGGCCGCGCGCCTCCGCGGGCCCAAGGTGAGCGCGCCCGGCCCGGCCTCGCCGCGCCTTAAAGGGGCGACGCCGCAGGGGGGGCAATGGGGGGGTCCGGTTCTTAAAGGGGCGATGTGGGGGGCGCTGCCTTAAAGGGACCGCGCGGTGGCGGCGGGGGGGGGGACGGGACCGGGGGGCGCGGGGCCGCAGCGGCACGTGGTGGGCACCGGCTCGGCTGGGAGTGCCCGCGCCGCGGCCCTGTCGGAGCCGGCGAGGAATCGGGGGGCTCCGGGCCCGGCCGCTGTTTCGGGGGCTCCGCCGCTGCGGCAGCCCCGTCGGGGGGTCCCCGCCCTGGGGCAGCCCCCGCTGGGGGCTCCGGCCCCGCCGCTCCCCCGTTGTACGACTGCGCTGCAGCACCGTCCCCGAGGGGGTCCCGCCCGGTGGCACCGGCAGCGGGGAGTGGGGGGCGGGGACCCCCCGTTCACCGCCCCCCCCCCCCCCCCCCCCCCCCCCCCCGGCCGGGGGGGGCAGAGGGGGCCGGGGTCACCGCGACGGGCCCCCCGGGGGGGGCCGAGCGCCGGTACCGGGTCGGGGCGGCCGCGGCCCCCCCGGGCTGTTTGCCTTGGCCGCGGCCCCGGCGTTTCATAACGGGCTCTGCGGTGTCTCTATCGACCGGGCGATATTTTGGGAGCAGGGGCCCGGCCCGCCGTGTTTTGATGCCCCACTTGGCCCCGCTCCCCCCCCCCCCCCGCGGGGGCCGCCCCGCCGGGCTGAGCCCCGATCCCGACCCTTCGCCTCCTCCTCCCCCCGGCCCGACCCCGCACCCTCGGCCCGGGGAGCCCCCGCACCCCCCGAGCACGGCGGGGGCCCCCGAGGGTCCCGGTGCCCCCCGCCCCCAGCCGGTGCCCGGTGTCACCGACAGCACGTGTGACCTTGAGCCGGGTGACAGCGGGACGAGCCGCGGGGAGCCCCGCAGCGCGGTGGCACCGGGGTGACACGGGGGGTGACACCGGGGGTGGCACCGGGGGTGACACGGGGCCCCCGCGGCGGCGACAGCGGCCGCCTTGACCTTGGGCTTCCCGGAGCCGCCTCCATTGTTCCTCCTCCGGCATTTTCCCTTCCCGGAGCCGCCTGTTGCGGGGGGACACGGCCCCGTCGCCCGCCACGGCCACACTTGGCGGTGTTGGGGTCCCACGCCGGGGGTGCGGGGGGGGCCCACGCCGGGGGTTCGCTGCGGTGACCCCCCCGCCCCCCCCCCGCGCCCCCCCCCCCCCCGGCAGCCAGTGGAAAAACCGAGTCATGTTCTGGCTCTGCCGCAGGCGCTGCCGCAGCTCCCCCCGGGACGATCGGGGTGTCCCTGTGGGTGTGACCCCCCCCTCCCCGGCACGGCGACCCCCGGTGTCCCCCAGCCCCCCTTTGCCCCCTTTGCCGAGGGCAGGGCGCTGCCGGCCCGGGGTGTTCCCAGGGTGTTCCCGGCCGGAGTCCCCGCGGTTCCCACGGTTCCCACGCGTGGGCGAGGAACAAAGTTCGGATTCCCCGGCACAGGAAAACCGCGGCCTGGCCGGGCTGGGCTCCGGCTGTGCCAGGGCTGCCGTGTGCCAGGGCTGCCGTGCTCGGCTCCAGGAAGGGAAATGCAGCCGCATTCCCTGTGCCGGGTCCGGATCCGGGTCCGGCTGCCCTTGTGCGTGATGGGAATGGGGGGGGGGGGCGGCGCTGCCCCGGCTCACCCGGCCCTGATCCCTCACCCCGGCCCTGATCCGTGTGGGCGAGGGAAGCGGCTCCAGCCGCTGGGCACGGCCCCTGGGAGCTGGGATCTCACCGGGGTCACAGGGCTCCCGTCACAGAGCCGGGGCTGGGGGCTCCGTGTGCAGCTGCACCCCCCAAAATGGGGCAGCCGGGGGGCATGGGGGGCTCTGCTCTGCTAACACGGGGGGTCTCTGTGTCTGCTCTTCCACAGAACGCACCGTGTGTCCTCTTGGCCGCCCGCCACGCCAGCGCTGCCACGGTAAGGGGGGACCCTGCTCTGTGAAGCTCTCTCCTGTCACCCACCTCTCCTGTCACCCCCTGTCCTGTGCTCGGCCCCCAGCTCACGGCCCACTCCCTTCTCCCCAGAACCTCAAAGATGTCCTGGCCACCATGATCCCCAAGGAGCAGGCGAAGATCAAGAGCTTCCGGCAGCAGCACGGCAGCACGGCCATCGGGCAGATCACCGTGGACATGGTGAGTGGGGGGCACGGGGGGCACGGGGGGACACCGGGCTGTGCCGCAGCCCCTCAGTGTGGCCTCACTGCCCGTTCCAGGTTTATGGCGGGATGAGGGGCATGAAGGGACTGATCTACGAGACCTCTGTGCTGGATCCTGATGAGGTAGGACCCCGTCCCACCCCGTCCCACCCCTGGCACCGGCCCCGCTGGGCTGACACCCGTGCCGGGCTCCGCAGGGCATCCGCTTCCGCGGGTACAGCATCCCCGAGTGCCAGAAGAAGCTGCCCAAAGCCCCAGGGGGAGAGGAGCCGCTGCCTGAGGGGCTCTTCTGGCTGCTGGTGACAGGAGACATCCCTACCCAGGAGCAGGTAAGAAGGGGGCTGGCGGGGGTCTGGCAGCCCCCAGCCCCTCGGCCGAGCCCCCCTGACCCCCCCTCCTCCGCAGGTGAGCTGGCTGTCCAAGGAGTGGGCCCGGCGCGCTGCTCTGCCCTCCCACGTGGTGACCATGCTGGACAACTTCCCCACCAACCTGCACCCCATGTCCCAGCTGAGCGCGGCCGTCACCGCCCTCAACAGCGAGAGCAAGTTCGCCCGCGCCTACGCCGAGGGCATCCACCGCGCCAAGTACTGGGAGGTACGGGGGGGCCCCCGGCCGGGCGGGGCAGGTTTGGGGGCAGGTTTGGGGGCAGGGGGCTGGGGGGCAGGGCAGCCACCCCCTCTCACCCCTCCGGCGCCAGTTTGTGTACGAGGACGCCATGGACCTGATTGCGAAGCTGCCGTGCGTCGCCGCCAAGATCTACCGCAACCTGTACCGGGAGGGCAGCGGCATCGGGGCCATCGACCCCAACCTCGACTGGTCCCACAACTTCACCAACATGCTGGGCTACACCGACCCCCAGTTCGTCGAGCTGATGCGGCTCTACCTCACCATCCACAGGTAGGGAGGCAGCAGCGGCGCCTGGAGCAGGGGGGGACTTGGCCCCGTTCCCAGCCCCAGGGCAGGGACAGGACCGGCTCTGGGGACATGCCTGGGCCGCTCCGGGGGCGGCACTGGGAACACAGCGTGGGGCCACTGGGGTAGGGCTGTACGAGGCTGGGAACGCTGTGGCCCGCCCAGAATGCCTTGGAGGGTATTTGGTGGGGATGGGGGAGTCCTGATGCCCCCCCTCGCCCATGCAGTGACCACGAGGGAGGGAACGTGAGTGCCCACACCAGTCACCTGGTCGGCAGCGCCCTGTCTGACCCGTACCTCGCCTTCGCCGCCGCCATGAACGGCCTGGCCGGGCCCCTGCACGGCCTCGCCAACCAGGTGGGCCCCCCTCCCCGTCCCTCTGTCCCTCTCGCTGTCTGTCTCTCTGTGCCCCACTGGCCTCACTCGGACCGTTCCTGCAGGAGGTGCTGCTCTGGCTGACTGACCTTCAGAAGGAGCTGGGCAAGGAGGTGTCAGATGAGAAGCTGCGTGATTTCATCTGGAACACGCTCAACTCAGGCAGGGTGAGCCAGGGGCTAGGCCAGGGTGCTGAGCTGAGGGTCTGGGGGCCATGCTGGGGGTCCAGGGGCTGTGCTGCGGGGCAGTTGCCGGGCTCTGACCCCCGTCCTTGCAGGTGGTGCCGGGATATGGACACGCGGTGCTGCGGAAGACGGACCCTCGCTACACCTGCCAGCGGGAATTCGCCCTCAAACACCTGCCCAAGGACCCTCTGTTCAAGCTCGTGGCTCAGCTCTACAAGATCGTCCCCAACGTGCTGCTGGAGCAGGGCAAGGCCAAGAACCCCTGGCCCAACGTGGACGCCCACAGTGGGGTCCTACTGCAGGTGAGCCTGGGGGTCTTGGGAGCCGTGTGTCCCTCTCCCTGTCAGTCTGTCGCTCTGCCTGTCTGTCCTTCCCATCTGTCCATGTTCCCTGGGCATGTGGAGGGCTCCTGGCTCCCCCCTCTCTGCCCTGACTCCCCTCTCCCCCCACAGTACTATGGGATGAAGGAGATGAATTACTACACGGTGCTGTTCGGGGTGTCCCGAGCCCTGGGCGTCCTCTCTCAGCTCATCTGGAGCCGGGCGCTGGGATTCCCCCTGGAGCGGCCCAAATCCATGAGCACCAAGGGCCTGATGCAGCTCGTGGGCTACAAATCCGGGTAAAGAAGGGACGGGGACAGGGCCGCGGCCTGTGCTCCCCAGGGAACATTGCGCTGCCGGGCCCGGCCCGGACGCCCTCGGCACTGAACCCCCCCCGGGCACCGGCCGGGGGCTCCTCGGGGTCAGCGGAGCCCCCCCGGCTGCTCCCCCTCCCCTGCCCCACCCCTGGCTCTCCCCACCCGTGTGAGGTGAGGGGGGTCTCCTGTGCCCCCACCCCACCCCAGCAGCACTCACTGCGCACACTGGGAGCCCCCCGACTCCCCACACACTGGGAGCCCCCCGGCTCCCCCACTGCTGGGCTGGGGGTGGTCCCGGTGAGGCCGTGGGGGGGCACAGCCCCCCCCTGAGAGGGTTCAGTCCAGACTCGTGTCCAGGCCCTCCCACAGGGACTCGATACACTCCTCCCCGGCCGCGCCCCCGTGTTTGTGTGACCCCCCCTCCCTGTCCGAAGCCCCCAGGAGCCAGAGCTGGGACCCCCCCAGCCCCCTCACAGCTCTTGGGCACTTCTGTACAAACAACAACAAAATGCAAAATAAATGTTTTTATTAACAAACCCCGAGCCTTTCACCTCCCTCCCTCTGCAGGACGTGGGGAGGGGGGTCAGGGGATGGTGCCCCCACCCCGCCTGGGGGTGCTCCGAGGTCCCGTTGGGGTCGGTGGGGTGGCCCTTGGCCCCTCAGTGGTGATGGCAGGAACTCGGTTTGGGTCGGGGGGTCCCAGCTGCAGCCCCCCCCCACCTCCCCAGCTCCCCCCTCCCGTGCTGAATGAGGACCAGGAGGCTGCTCACCCTTGGAAAATGCTCTTTATTGGCCTGTAAAAGCCCTTCCTCGGGCAGCACAGCCAGGGCGGCCTCGGGGGGCTCAGGGAGCCCCTCAACCCCCGGGGGGGCTCTGTGGTGGGGGGGATCCAGAGGCTTCCCTGTGCCCCCACCGCAGGTGAGGAGCGGTGAGTGGGGCCGGGGGGCTGCGGTTGGGGGCGATCCCGGGACCGTCCCAGTCCCGGTGTTGGGTGCTGGGGGTGGGGGTGGCGGGGGGGGGGCAGCTTGAGCCGCCCCCTCCCCACCCTGTGCGTGTGGCTTGTGCAAACTGTGCGACGTCGGGGGTCCCTCGGCCGTGAGCCGGGGGCTCGGGGGGCTCCTCCCTGTGCCAGCTCCTTCCCTTTTGTCCCTGGGAGGGCTGGGGAGGACGTGGAGGGTCCCAGCAGCTCTGTGTGGGATCCAGCCAGGCCCCCCCACCCAGCAAACCCTTCCTTCCTCCCTGTGTCCCGGAGCACGGCCCAGGCACCAGGAGCTGTCCCCGCTGGGACCCTCCGGCCTGGCCGAGGAGTTAAAAGAACAGAAAAAAAAAAAAGGGTTAAATAAAAAACCCCAAAACGAAACAAAACCAAAAACAACTCCCAAGAACTGAAAACAAAACTTAAAACCCCAAATCAGCTACAAAACCAGGGAGAGTCCAGCGCCAGGACGCAGCCCCCCGGGGCCGGGGGGACGTTGAGGCAACGGCAGCGGAGACGCACTCGAATAAATATTTGGGGGGTGGGCACGGGGCAGGTGAGCCCCAGCCCGGCACAGTCCGGGGGGGCCCGGCCCGGCCGCCCTCACGTCTGGTGGACCTCGTGGAACATGAGCTCCCGGGGGATGCGGGTCTCGGGCCCGAAGTTCTTGGCCGCGCGGCGCTCGAAGGCGGCCACCATCTGCTTGACCACCTCGTCGAAGAACACGGTGGCCAGCTGGGAGTGCAGCAGGGAGCGGAACTCGAAGGAGATCTGGGGAGGAGAGCAGGTGAGCCCCCAGGGGAACGTCTGCCCTGCCCTCCCTGCCCCCGGGCGGGGTCTCACCGAGAAGTCCACGGTGCTGGTGCGGGGGTAGCCGGGGATGCCGGGGCTGAAGCGCCAGTTGGTCTCCAGGTGGTTGAAGAGGCGCCCGTCGGTGCAGACGGCCTGGGGAGGGGGAGAGCACAGGCACGGGGATCATGGAATCGTGGAATTAATCAGGTTGGAAAAGACCTCTGAGACCATCGAGCCCAACCTGTGCCCGATCCCCACCTTGTCCCCCAGCCCAGAGCTCTGAGTGCCACGTCCAGTCCTTCCTTGGACACCTCCAGGGGTGGGGAGTCCAAACCTCCCTGAGCAGCCCCTGCCAAGGCCTGACCGTCCTTTCCATGCAGAAATTCCTCCTGATGTCCAGCCTGACCCTCCCCTGGCACAGCTTGAGGCTGTTCCTTCTTGTCCTGTCCTGAGCACCCCCAGCTCCCTCACTTCTCCAGCCCCTTCTCCAGCCCCTTCCCCAGCTCCGTTCCCAGCTCTGGACACGCTCCAGCCCCTCAATGTCTCTCTTGCCGTGAGGGCCCAGAACTGGGCACAGCCCTGGAGGGGCCCCAGCAGTGCAGAAGAGCCGCCCAAAGAGCGTGTCCTGCCCTCACCTTGACCAGGTGAGGCCGGACCAGGGTGACGATGGACGTGTAACGCTCCAGCACGGGCGGGAACCCCACCTCCAGCTGGGCCTTGATGTGCCCCGAGCGCCGCGACACCACCACCGACTTCTTGCACCAGGGCACGAAGTTCTTGTAGTCCTCCACGTTGGCCACCACGTCGTACATCTCCTGCATCGAGTACCTGGGGGGCACAGCGGGTGTTGGGGCCGGGGGGACGGTGCCCGCTGCCCCCCCGGGCTCCCCGACGTACCCGATGATGCGCCGCTCCGAGTACTCCTTGCGCTTGTTGGTGAGGTTCAGGAAGGTCCTGCTGGGCTGGGAACGGGGCTCCCAGGGCACAGGGCCCGGCCTGGCCAGGCGGGAGAGCCGGAGGCCACACAGGGCTGCGTGTCTGGGGGGACACGGGGGGTGCCGGGACGGGGCCAGGGGGGCAGCCCCGGGACCACCGCGGTGGTGGGGCCCTGCCCGCCCTTCCCAGGCCCCTTCCAGCCCTTCCCAGGCCTCTTCCCAACTGGCCTGGCCCCCTTCCACCCCTTCCTAGGTCCCTTCCTGACCAGCCCAGGCCCCTCCCGGGATGGGAATCACCCCCGGGGAGTTCAGTCCCAGCGCAGATCCCAGACTAGCTCTTGGCAGGAGGAGGAGGAGGAGGAGGAGGAAGGCCAGGAAACCCGAGCTCAGGGACACCTAATCCCGCTGTTGGAGCAGGGACAACTGCCCGGTGCCCCCCCCGGAGTTTCTCCTCCTCCTCTGGCCCCATCTCATCCCTCCGGGGTCATTCCAGGGGGGCAACAAGGAGAGGCAGAGCCCCCAGGGGGGAAGATCCCACCTCTCCCCCTATCACTTGTCACCTGTCACATCACTGGGGGGTTCCACCCTGGTGGTGTCCCTTGGCTGGGCTGCCCCGGGGGTCCCGGGGAGCGCTGGGACCCCCCGAGGAGGTCGATCTCGTCCCCCCCAGCTCTGCCGGTGCTGCCACACCGAGCCCCGGGCAGGGAGGTACCGGGCCACCGTGTCCCCACACCGCTGTCCCCGCGTCCCGTTCCCGCGCAGAGGTCGCTGCCCCCCCCGGGGGCCGCGGGGCCGTCCCCGCGCTGGCGGGACCGTGACGCCGCTGCCGAACCCGCGGCCGGGGGCCTCTGACGGGGACCGGGGGCGCCGCGGGACCCCCGACCCCCGGGACCCCCCGTGGCCCCCAGGGTGCCCCCGCGCGACCCCCGCCCTGAGGGGTCCCGGGAGTGCAGGCAGGCCCCGAGGAGACCCCGCAGCACGATCGTCCCCCCGGGGCCCGCCCCGGTTCCCCCGGGACCGGTGTGACCTCCGGGCCTCGCCCGCCCCGCTGCCGCCGCCGCTCACCTGCAGGGCGGGGCCGCCCCGGCCCGCAGGCGCTGCCGCGCCCCGAGCTGGAGGGCACCGCGGAGCCGCCGGGCCGCCATGAGCGGGCCGGGACCGGGACCGGGACCGGGCCGGGCCGGGGCCGCCGCGGGGACTTCTCACCCCGTGACGTCACCGCGTCGCCATAGCGCCAGGTACGTCACGGGGCGACACCCCCCGCGCGGGGCACCAAGGGAGTTGTAGTCGCGGTCGCGCTGGGGGACGATGGGAAGTGTAGTCCAGGCCGGGCCCCACCGGGCACCGCGGGGCCTGTAGCCCGAACACCCCCCGGCGGACCCCCGGCCCCGCCACGCACGTGTGTCCCCAGTGGGTCCGGAGGGGGACGGGGAGTCCCCGGTGCCGTGTCCCGGTAACGGTCCCACTCCGAGCTGAGCAGAGGAGCCAATAGAGCGGGAATTCACGGTGGCTGTGGGAAATGTGTGGCCCAGTACAGCCCAGTGCCTCCCAGTACGGCCCAGCATAGCCCAGTGCAGCCCAGTACGGCCCAGTGCAGCCCAGTACGGCCCAGTGCTGCGAGGGACACCACCACTTCCTTGGATGAACACAATTCCCGAGCAGGGAATGCCACCCCAGAGCTCGGAGCTGGGAAGGGATCAGGAGCCAGCAGGGAGCTGCAGCCAGCCCGTTGTCACCTGTGCTGCCCTGGAGCAGCTGTGGGGGTGGGCGTGGGGATGTGGGGGTGGCAGTGGGGATGTGGGGGTGGGCGTGGGGGGCTTTGAGCGGGCAGAGCTGCCCCATCCCCACTCTGTCCCTGTCCCTGGTACAGAGCTGCCCCGGCAGCCCCGAGCCGGGCACGGGTGTTGCTGTGGCCAAGGGAAGGAGCGATGCCAGCGCCCGACTGATGCCCCAGGACCACCGACAGCCACCCAGGGATGGGGGGCCGGCTGGACAGACCCCAGAGTGTGACGGAGGGGCCACAGGGGTGACTCCCGGGACCCCCTCCCACCACCCTCCTGCTCGGAGGGCTGGGCCTGGACTGGGGCAGCCGCATTGTCCTGGAGGAGGCCACTGCCCAGGGACTCCCTGGGACCACCGGGAGCCACACGATGACACGGTTCCCACCGGACAGACCCCGGAGAGCGGGATGGGGGCGGCCCATGGGCGACCCCCGGAACCCTCACCCGGTGCGGAGGCCGCGGGCTGGGTTTGCACCGGGGGAGCCGCTGCCCGGGGAGCCCCAGCACCGACAGGACCCCACCTGGGACGGGGTCCCCCCCCGGGCAGACCCCACGGAGCAGGACGGAGATGGCACAGGGGAGACCCCCCAGACCCTCGCCCACCGCGGCCCCGCCGCCCCGGGACCCTCCGCCTGCCCCGGGCCCCGGGCCGCCCGCCCGCGCCCGCTGCCCCCGTTTCCCCCGGCGGTGGGCGGTCCATCCCCGCGGCCCGGCCCCGCCGCTCCCCCCG